TCTCTGCACCATCCTTCTCTCTGTCGGAACGCTAAAGCTCCCAACAAATCCCCCTGGAGCTTATTGAGAAAGAAGACGTCTAATTGCCACTTATATGAATTCCTTCTTCTGGCGCTAAAAGTGAGAACTACCTCCGCGAGAACTCATCTGCCACGTCTGCAAGATTTAAACCAGCTGCCACATCTCCTGCACCGGTCCAACACAGTTTGTTTTGCATCACTTTTCATTGTGTGTGGGTGGAGACAAGCCTGACTCTCGCCAGACCCATGTAGTTCACTGCACTTCACACATGCATCCGGGCCTCTTCCATAGCAGTTGGATTTCAGAAGGCGGGGCCTTCTAAAAAAAAATCCTTGTATGTGATTGGATATACCACTTAAAAAACCACCGTCCGTTATCTTGAATGACGTCTTCCTTCAACCACTCACATCGAAGCACACGACTCCCATGGTTTGCCAAATCGCGGCAAGATTTTCCAGCCCAAAACCCGCAACAATTTTTTTTTTTTTTTTTGGGCTAAAAACCTAATGTGCTATCAACTTGGGCTATCATGATTCTGTTTATTGTCTTTTTGTTTATTTATTACAAGTCTCTTGAAGAAAAGTATGCGGGAAACCACCCAACCTGGCAACCCTGCTGCATAGTGCTGTAAACAGGAACACTTAAACCAGTGCTTACACCAAACAAACACACATATAACAACATAGAACCACCAACATCTCGCCTCATATTACATTAAAAGTAACATCCGTGTCTTAATTTGTTCGTATTTAAACTTTTTTTTAAATCACGGAGACGGCGTTCCTCTGCTTTTTTTTTTATAGGCTACTTAATGTGGAAGTGGTTTAGAATGATTCATGTTGGACATACAGCAGTTACACATGACTCACCGGGAATGGATTATAGGAACGCATGCTTTTAGAGTGCGTCATCATCACTCCAAAGTGTACTTGCAGCTAAATACAATGGGGCAGCAAATGGAAAACATACATACATTACATTCAATGTGTTTTTGTCATGGCTCTAAATCACAATGTTGTCGATTTCTCAACCATAGAACAGAGAAACAAACAGCTTGAACACAGAAAATGCAATAATAACAAATACATAGGAGACGTTGGTCGATAGGGAGCAGATGACCAATGGCCATACATGTTAATAAATGTATTTAAATATACTGTCCTAGCTGTCCCAGAGCAGTCAAATTTCAGTTTTTCAAATTGGAAGTGCAATTACTCCGCTTATGTACGTCATTGGTCTTCAAAATTTTGTGACTTTTGAATCTTTATATAGTTTATAGCTATGCAATTATGTTATGTAAACTATTAAACTGGTGCGAGACTGGTTCAGGGCAATCTCTGGTTGGAATAGATGCTAGTTACCATAACCACACACTATTCATTTTTATCAGTTTGCATTTAGTTTTGCTGTAGATCATTTATATTGACCCATTATAGCATGTAAGGCAAATTTAATAAAAGCAGTGAAAATAACTTTTTTATTGGGGATTTTTTCAAAATTCCATTACTTTGAATGGCCGTCAAAATGACAGCTCTGGCAGTTCTAGAAGTTTCAGAATGATGGGAGCCTTAATGTTAAAGACAGATACTGCTGTCCTTGTGCATACCCATCATTGCTTCATGTCCATCCATCCATTTTCTTCCCCTTAATCCATTTCAGGGTCGGGGGGGTGGCAGTCATAGGGCACCCAGTACACATTGCACCAGCCCCTCACTGATCCTCCTGCAGGTGCTGAGTCCACAGGAGGACGGCTGCTCTATGGCATAGCCTTGGTCTTTCAGCGGGGGCTTCAGGCAAAGTTAAGGGGTTAAGTGTCTTGCCCACGGACACAACGACAGGAGACCAGTGGGAGTCGGTGGAGAGGGTCTCGTGGTGGGCTCTATTATTTGAATCATAAACAGCTGTTACAATGTCATGCAATTCCATTAAATGTGAATAATACATCCTTTGTGACATCCTTTGATTGACAACTGGTTCAACATTACCTTCATGAATGTGCAATAAATAAAAAAATATTTCTGGGAAGAAGTGCACCCAAATCACGTCCACAGTCCATCCTTGCACATAGGCAGGTGTCACGACCCAGAGCACAAAACATATTTGCGACACAGCAACAGCCAAATATTGACCTATAAAAACAAGCTTACAAAAACATATAAAACCCAAAAATACCTGGACGAAAATACAAGACTCAAATCAAAAGGTGAAAAGGTGCCCAAACATAACAGATGGTTCGATGAAAGTGTGGGAACCTCTTGAGCCATCTATGAACCAATGAACCATAAGAAGAGGGTCATCATAATGCAAAGTTGCTGTTTTGGGTCTGGTGACAAAGATTATAGACTTTTCCACCAGGAACATTTTCAATCAGCCATTTTACAATCTCATGATGAGTCTATGTTAAACATGTGTTGTAGCAAAAACGACTGGTGAATAAAAATGAGCAGACTTGAAAAACCCTCAAAAGAAATCAAGGTTTATACATAACAAAAATATTCAATAAGTAAAGCTAAAGAAGCTAAAACTATTCAACTGATATAACTTTATTAAAGGATTAGGTGACTACTTCAGGACTCCAGTGACTGTGAATTATTTGGTTATGATTGGCATGGACGTCTTTGAGTCTTTTTTTGACGGTAAATTTAGCAATTGCTGTTAATGTATAACCGTCTGAACATTTGGGGAATACATTAGTATTGTTGCATCATTATGAGGATTGTGGATCAACAGGCTCTCTCTTTCTGTCTCCTGTGTAAGGTTAAAGGTGGGAGAATCAGCCTTCTTCAATAATGCTCCTTGTAAATGGAACACTTTTCCAAATGATAGTTAATGTTCTCCAACCTTTAGGCAGTGTTTACCCTATCACGGCCCTTTTGTGATGTACCTCTTTACACTGTTCTTGATTGAGTTGCAGATTCCATGTATGAAATATTCTGTCCACCCATCCATCCATTTTCCTCTGCTTCATCCGCTGCCAAGTTGCACAATGAATATTTTGTATATAATGTACTTTTCTTCTCTCCATCCAAAATTTCAAAATCCTGGGTGTGCACATGAGTGAGGACCTGACCTAGAGCCATAACACCCACAACACAACATGAAGCGTGCCCAGCATAGAGACCTTTTTCCTGCAAAAGCCTCCGTCGAAACAGGTTGCTGCATCTTAGAATGTGTTCTAACATACTGCTGCACGTCATGGTATTCAGCCTGCACAGAGGTGGATAAGAACAGGACCTACAGCGGGCGGAGAAGACAGCAGAGAAGGTTGTGGGCTCCTCTCTCCTGGACCTGATCACTATGTATTCCACCGGTCTCCTCACACATGCCTCCAACATCCTCCAGGACTCCACACACCCAGGGACCTGCACTTCTCCAGGCTCCCATCATGAAGACTGTGGACTTCCATGTCATACACACACACACACACACACACACACACTGCATGTTCACCGGCCTCTGCCCATGAGCTGTGGACATGCTACAGATACAAAGCCCTGAGGAGACTGAATGCAATATCATATTTGTATTCAGATTTTTACTTTGACTGATCATGGGGGAATTCATTGAAATGTTATTCTATTATTAATGAATTTTACCTATTTGCAGAATAATTACTGGAATTTACTGTTGACATCCATTTGTACATGTAATTGATTTTCTGAAACTACAAATTAGTAGTTTTTTGTACAATGGCCATAAATGATCTATCTCATGTATCTATCGTATATCTAATTATTTATCTGTCTATCTTTTTCTATTCATCTATCTATCTTTCTATCAGTGAACATCATGTCTCTGGCTTGACTTGCAGGCTATGTTTGGGCCCCTCTGTGTGTAATTCACATCTCTCTGACCCTGGGTAAATATAGAAACCATCAATCCAAAATAATCACAACAAGAGAACAAATCGTGCAGAGCTGCAACCCGAGCCTGACTTTCCATTCGGAGATATGTCTCCACTGCTCGGCTTGGGCTTTTATGAGAAAAATCTCTATTCATGGGGCGAACGTGGAGACCCCATACAGAAAGGGCCGTCCTGATATGTAAGGGATAATGTATAGAACACAGGTCATTATCGGAAAATACTGTAAGTACCAACAGGGCAAACCGGACCCCAACACAAAAAAAACTCCTCTTTTTTGTATGCTGAAAGGTTTATTTAATGCAGGGGTGCTCACACTTTTTCATCATGCGAGCTACTCGATAAGTCAAAATGATCTACCTACTACAAAAATGCAAAACATATATTTATTTCTAAATATATTGAGAATTCTTTATATCTACAATGTATGTTGATGTACATGCAAAACTGCATGATTTATGAAGTAAATTACATGCACACATAACCGAACATCTGCGTTTTCAATGACATTCATAAAATTCCAAACATGTGCATCCTCCGACGTCCTGCGTTGGGGAGAAACCACAGAAGTGGGCGGAGCTTTGATGCTGACGCCGGTGGTTCTGTAGCGGCTTTCACAGTCATAGTAGAAACTAAGGGGGGAGACATTATTATAGATCCATGGTGAAGACATATGTTTACAAGCACTGACCCCCGTCCTCAGCCCTGGTTTAGCTCCTGTTTTTGTTGTTTTCGAGCGTGCGTGATCACTTTGCTGCTCTCTGATATGGAGCGAGGTTGTTCGCTGCTGCGAACCGCTTGCAGCAGTGAACAGTATTTAAGGCAGTAAGATCCATGCTTCCTCAGTGATCAGAGGTTCGACGTTTTGTTTGTTGTTGTTTTGGGGGCATACTGTGGCGTGTTAAAACGCATAACTCCGGTTATCTCTGTCTACACGCAAATGCATAAACTGATCTTTTTTTTAATGTAATGCGAACTACCAGTACTACCTATCGACGTATTGAGCACCCCTGATTTAATGACTGCAAAAAAATACTTCCCATAGTTCCCTGTTGAGTAACAGCTGGGCTAGCTACTTATTTTAAACTGGACGTTCCCATTGAAGGTTCAGTTTGAGATGAGGAATAGTGGTATGTTGAAAGTCGGATTCCCGTTAACCTCAGTAATGATTCCCCCAGATTCTCTCAAAGAGACAGAAGTAGTGACAAGCGCCTCTAGAAATAGATAATGCTAGCGTGCTGTGCTGATATCTATTTGCTGAAGTTTGTTGACGAAGTGGCCGGACTACTTGCCTTGCCATGGGCAACGGTTAATGTTGAGGTCTGTCATCAAGAAATAACGACCGGTAGAATGTTTTGAAATGACTTTCAAATCAATGGATGTGTTGATATGTTGGTTCATCAGTGTTGCTCATGTCTGTTCTGTTAATTGCCTGTCCCGCCAAAATGTGTTTCACCTGTGTGTCCCTGTGTGTCCCTATGTGTCCCTGTGTGTATTTAAACCCTGTGCTCTTCTCCCCTTGTTGTTGGTCCATTGTGTTTTCGTCCCTGTTTTGTCCCGGTTTCAGTTTTAAGTTCTGTATCCTGGATTATTATTTTTTTTACTGCAGGGCAGTACGTCAGATTGACTGAACTCACGTAGCTGATATTTAGAACTCCATGCCTCCATCAACAAACGTCCATGCTTTTGCGGTGCGAACACAGCTTTAGAGTGGATAATCTCAACCAAGTCACCAGTTGTTATTACAATACAATACAATGTATTCTTGTATAGCCCTAAATCACAAAAGCAGTCATCTCAGAGGACTTAAAGGGCCCATATCACGGATTTTGACTTTTCTCTGCTTTAAACATGATTACAGTGCTATTTGTGCTTCATACACATGCCCAGAGTGTTTTAAACATTGATTCCCTCAAGCTCTAGTTAGAGAGCGATCTGTCTCCTTCAATCTCGAGAGGCACCAAAACGCTCGGGTCCACTTCTATGACGATTTACACATTGATGACGCGCATAAGACCGCCTCCAGGAGGGGCCAGCAATGATTGGCAGAGGGGAGAATAAAAACAAACACGCCCACAAACGTGCGTGGATCTGTACATGCAGCTACTCTACCGCAGTCTGTACTTCGCTTCACATCGATCTCTGTAGTTACTGCTGCTGTCGTTCACTAAAAGTGTCAGCATCATGTCAACTTGGAGAAAATGTTTGTTTGGGTGTAACTACGTGACGAGACTCTTTGGCTTGCCCAAAGATGAAGCGATTCGGCGAAAGTGGCTTGACTTCATTCACGGGTTTCTGCCTCCGAAACCGTCAAAGAATCTGTTCGTCTGCGAGCGACACTTCGCTAAAGACTGCTTCCAGAACTACGGTTACCATGAAACTGGACTCACTAAAAAGCTGATCTTGAAACATGGTGTAGTTCCCACAATAAAAGACGCTAACGGGGAGCCAAGATCGGTAAGTACAATGCTAACTCAACATACATGACTGCCAAGTAATAGTACTTGTAGTAATCATGTCCACTATGTCGCCAATATCATGCATAATACTAGAACAGTAGCTGATTGATTTATTACGAACAGATCGTAATAATGTGCAGTAGTGTTACTATAGAGAAGCTAGATACAGGTAACAATAATGGCGATAACACTTTCATTGTCCTGGACTGAGGCCCAGGCATTTTACTCATAGATTGTTTGTTGCTGTGACCCATGTAGATTACAAACCAGTAAAGCCCGGCCTTTTCAGTTGGAAATTAGCCAGAACTTGTACATATTACGCATTAAATTATGTTAATTTGTAGTGTTATCGTATAGCCATATTTATTTCATCTTGATCTTGAAGCATTTAGAATGCAAATGGGTTAGTGTTGTATAGTTTTCGCAATAAACAATCACAATAACACAAACGATTATGCTGTTGACTCAAGAAAAACAATGACAGTAAGTTAGAGTAACGCTGCCCTAGATCATAGACTATACAACAAACCCCCCACGTTTGACATCAGTCGACACATTACTTGTATACGCTACTCATGTTTACGCCACACCAAGCTATTATATTTAGTTCAACCTTTACATATAATATTTGAACACTTAGTGATGAAAACACGTTTGTAGATTTATTGATAATAACTGATGTTCTTTATTCCATGATAGAGTACTTCTGAGGAGGCACCCAGCCACAGTCGTGCTGGAGCAACTGCTGGAAAACTGAGGACCAGAACTGTCTCCACACAGATATCTGCCAGAACCCTAAAGCTACAACACGTCAGAAGTAAAGGTAGGCTATTGCTTTTGCACATTGTGAATAAACACCACATACACCAAAGACATGGTACCATAATAACACGCACTAATGCTGACAGATGCACGTAATTACCAGCATTCAGTGTCTGTCTTTCCAGTTATATATATGAAAAGTTGCAACATAAGATGATAATAGTGTGAAGTTTATCTGAATGTTTTAAAAGTCCTGAATCCAAACTGGGGGTCTGTGTTGTTATATTATTATGTGTGGTACAATTCTGTTCTGTAGTAGTGTGAATGTTGCTAATTCTATGTATGCATTTCAATAGGTACTCTTGCAAAACCCAACACCAAAGATGCATCTACAGAGACAGATCAGTCTTGGATGGTGCTGTCCTCCACACCAATAAGATCATCTACCTCTGGGCTCGGTATTGGGTCAAGGAAGAGACGTCGTACAGACATTTTTGAGGAAGACGAGGAGGATCCTGACATCTCAGATATTTCCCCACCACAACCACACGACTCTACTTATGAGCTTGGGGCCACTCTCACTGATGTTTCTGGAATGATGTAAGTATGTAGTATGTATACACTGTAGGTAGCAATTATCTACAATATCAATAATGTCTGTATTTGTCATATTTTGTCCAAAAACAGGGAAACAGAATGTCCCTCTGCTTATGAAGAACCGAAATACATAGTGTTTGACAGCAATTTGAAGTCCCTATTTGAAACATGCCCAGTTTGCACACGTAACTGTAAAATGCAGAGAAGCATTTTTGGGACATTTGTTTCATTTACACAAGATTGCCCACACTGCTTGTATCATCGGAAGTGGGACAGTCAGCCGATACAGGGGAGCACACCAGTTGGCAATCTACAGCTTTCTGCAGCAGTGTATTTTTCCGGCGGATCCTTTGTAAAGCTGGAAAAGGTAACAACGGCACAACACAACATTGAGTTCATTTTGACCATTGTGTTTATCATACATCATGTGTTCTTCAGATATGTAAAGCTATGCACCTTCAGATCCATCAGTACAACTCATTTAGGAGACATTCACGGCAGTTTCTTGAACCAGCAATAAACCACAAGTGGAGGAAAGATCAGGAGAGGTTTTTGGTTGATCTGAAGAAGAAGGGCAAAATAGCTGTGGGAGGTGATATGAGAGCAGATTCACCAGGTAGGGAAGGTAATGTCAGCATATTATATCACATGGCATGTAACGTTTTTTCAATGTTTTTATTTAGGACACAGTGCTAAGTATGGCAGCTACACGCTGATGGAACTTGAGAGTGAGAAGGTGCTTGACATACAATAGTACAGGTATGTCTAATATTAATGATGATTACACAATTTATTGTTTCATTACAAGTGACAGTGTGAATCAACGTTTGTGTTTCCTTAGAGCAATGAGGTAGGAGGAAGTTTTTATATGGAAAAAGAAGGACTGCGCCGGTGCTTAGATTTCCTGCAAGAGAATAGTCTTGAAGTGGACTATATTGTCACAGACCGTCACACACAAGTGAAAACCTTTCTACGGAGCCGAGATGTAACCCAGTACTATGATGTCTGGCATCTGGAGAAAGGTTTGGAATGAATCTTGTGTGAAAACAGAGACGTGTAGGTTTGTTATCTTATATGAATGCATATATGTGTTATATTGTAGGTGTATCCAAAAAGTTGGATAAGTTGTCCAAAGAGAAAGAGTGCCAGGTGGTGAGAAAATGGACAGCAGCCATAAAAAACCACATATACTGGGTTGCATCATCTTCCAAGACAGGATCAGAGAAAGTGGCAAAATGGACATCCCTTGTAAACCATATTCAAAATGTACACGATCATGATGACCCTGTGTTTCCCAAATGTGCACATCCAGTGAAAGAGTCCAAAGATCCAAGCAAATGGTTTCTGCCAGGTTTGGAAAAGCATAATCGAACTCTGACGCCAGAGTTGTGTGTTCATGTTTACCAATACATTGCTTATTTACTCAGGTTCTGCCCCATTGTACAAAATAGAAAAGCTACTTGTGAACAAGAGACTGCTGGAAGATGTAAAGAAACTCAGCTCTGAGCACCAGACATCGTCACTGGAGGCGTTTCATAGAGTTATTCTCCGCTTTGCCCCCAAAAATGTTGTGTACCCTTTTGTCGGAATGATGTGCAGGTAATATAACTGAATAGTTTTTGTAACAATCATGAGTATTACAAATCCTTTCTACATTGACACTCTTTTTTTGCAGGTTGTTTTTGGCAGGAATGCACTTCAATGAAAACGTGAAGCGTGAGCAAGCAACTTCAAAAGGGCAGCCTTTATTCAAAGTTTCCTACCCTAAATACAAAAAAGGAAAGCCTACAGCAAAGCCTGTCAAAACAAAGCCGACATTTGGTAATCAAAAACACTGTACAAACATTTTACATTGTCAGTGTACATTTATATTTATATATATCTCCAAATGAAAAAAAATATATAACTAGTCACACTTTTGCAGGATATGTCTCTGAGCTGATGCACCTCGTCTTCACTGAGGTCTTCTCCGAGCCAGCTCCTTTTATTGAACAGTTGAAGACTGTCCCTGTGCCTGCAGACCTCAGCTCTCAGTTTGAGAGAGTTCCCAAGGGAGATGTGGTTGCTGCACATGTTGCCAGGTTCAGTCGAGGGGCAGCCGAGGCTGACCAGAGGGTAGAAAGCCAACGTACTGGCCGTCAGGATCTGGGAACTCCTGGCGTATCCTGAGCACTGCACATGCAGGGATGACCACCCTGATTCTGGCTCCCAGCAGTCCCCAGCACCAGCTCACGATGCTTCTGTACGCCACAAATCTCGAGACGCCTACCGAGAGTGCACATATGTAAATTAGTGAAATTTACTGTTCTATGTACTGTAATTTGCTGTCCTATTTATGTTGTGATGATTGTACTCCTGAACCCTGCCTCCTCCATCTGCACCTGTGGACTGTCCTCCCCAGCCGGACTCGTGAGCTGCACCCCCTCCCTGCCATGAAGCTGCCTCAGTCCTTGTTCTGCAATGTGTCTGTCTTTCTTTAGCCTAAGTCCTAGATCTATTGCCCGGTGGGGAGTGGATCCCTCTCTCAATGTAGATCTCCCTGAAGTTTCTCACTTGCAGGCCAGTCTGTTTGACAGTTGGTGTCTAACCAGAAGGACTGTGGTGATGATCTAGGACACTCAACATTGTAGGATATTTATGATCATCTGGCCCTTATGGATTAATGACTCTTTGTTTGTATCATTGCATTTCTGTTGTTAGAGCCGTTTTATTCTCTGCTGTGTTGAGAAATAGTGATGTAAAACTATACAGGTATAAATTCCATAGAATTTGGAAAAGTACATAATAAATTATTGCAAATAAAATATTTAAATGAAAGTGTACTTACTCTTCTTGTGTTCTCCTTCGAACTGGCCCATAGTCTGCACGATAAATATTATTTATGGTTTGCAGAACAAAAATATGTATATTCATTGCAAAGCCAGGGTGGTCTATAATGCAGGCAGGTGGATCAGGCAGCTGATTTATCCGTCTCAGAACCTACATATGAAAAGAAAAAGTGTGAGAAAGCCATGTCATGGAATAATGATTATTGTAGTGCATCAATTTATTTTAATATAGAATTGTTCCCCAATTACTATAAATGCGTACAGTAGGTGACACATCTTTGAGCTTGTTTAGACCGTTGTATTGTTACTGTTTACAAAATGCATCGTTGATATTCTACGCCTTTATGATTATTACAATTACCTGTGGAATTTCTTGACAGCATACATTTTCTCTTTCTGTAGGCATTGTCCTACAGTTCCCGCATGTGCACCTAAGAAAAAATCATATCAAAGCTTCTGCTGTAATAAAATGATTGATAGCGTTAGCTCATATTTTACCAAGCCGAGACGTCCTGGTGGTTCCTTCGGGGCTGTTGCACTTCATGTACCTCGAACTCTGGGTCCGACTCTGGATCGAGGACATATGGCTCTATGTGACGGATTGCCATCGTTGTAAAAAGTTTGTTATCGAGTCTGCAGGTGCGCTTTACCGGCGAACGCTCGTGTTTACAAACTCATGGTGGCTCAGCCTACTTCAGCGAGTGGGCGTGATGGGGGACGGCTGTGGTCTGGGCTACGTCACCGTGCGGGAGGGGGGAGGCGGGCTCACAGGCAGAGGAGCAAAAATCAGCTCGTTTCATTTGAGGTGACGTAGCCTCCTTGTAAGAAATGGCTATAACTAGACAAGTGTTGAGTGATGTATGGTGTGTCAACAAAATTATGAACACACATGTACATAGGATGGACTGTGAAGCACAATTAGAAGCGCGATATAGGACCTTTAACTAAACCATTGAAATCACAAACACAGATCAGAGAATCAACAGTTAAAACACAAAAAGAATATAGAACACATGTTAAAATAAAAATTCCATACATGTTGTAGAATGTTAAAGTGTCCTGGATCATCCTTTTTGTTAGACACTAACTGTCCAACAGACCCTCCTGCATCGAAGGAGAGTCTGTTGGATGGTGAGGGTCTTCTTATTGAAGGTGTTGCCTTTTATAAAGCTTCTTATTAATGAATGCAGCTGTTCTTATCTTTTGTTTTGAAAAGAAACAAATCCAAATTAAACTTTTTCACAGCTCAGTTCCATCCATCACAATATGGATTTGCTGCACTGCTTTAGTATAAAACAGTTCAAAGCTGAAGCCCACTTAACAGCCTGACTGCTATATCAATCAGTTTTTTTACATTCTTGTTTACAGACAACTACCCAGCAGCAAGCGCAGTGATTAAACCTGATTGATGAGCAAAGCAGGGGTCTGAGGGGAGTGGGATGGGTGCCTGGGAAGGTGAGGAGAGACAGAGGGCCTGGATTATATCCCACTGAGCATTATAGAGTAGATTAACCAGGTGTGAAGAGCCTGGACTGAAGCAAATCCCCCCACCGGGCCGCATTAGATCGCTCACTTAAGTATTGTATTGATGGTGACATGATAGCCCCATATTTGCACCTAGCACCTTTAACACGCAGGTTACATCCGAGAATATATTTTAATTGTAATGAGCCTGACAATTTACACCAGCTGTGTATGTACCGCTCCACTCTGAGTTCTATTTTTAGGCTTCATCGTCACATACTGTATGCCTCAAAAAATATTCAATGGTAATCGGTTACTAAGGTCAGTGAAAACATGACTTTCTTCAAGGCAGTTCTAGGATATGACCTTAAGCATTTATACAACTGCATATGTTGTTTAAATGTTGGTGTATGTTCCTCTCTTTTTTCACTTTTCTGTCTGAAAAAGTGGATCTAAAAATGCGACAGAGGCCAATCAAACATGGTCAAAAAATGACCGTTCGATGTACACAGGGGTTATTCACCAGGTTTTTACATTGGTCCCTTGCTTATTGTGAGAATTATGTTCTAAAAATAACCCGCAATAAGCAAAATCTGCAAAGTTGCACCTAATTGTTTAAAGCTGCAAAACCCCTCACCATAAACTCTTCTACACTTTTCTAACCACCTGAACTTATGACTGCTGAAGTGTGATCGCGTAGATATCAAACCTGTTGGTATGAGCGCTGCTGCAGCTTTCAAAAGTTGTGCATAGAGCTGAGGGACAGGAGCAGGACTGAGGGCTACGGGAAGACCGCGGGAGTCCTCTGAACTAATCACGGCGGGTCACACATGCCCCCACAATTTTCTTCTAACGTTGGAATAAAGGTAACTGCCAGGTTATACTAGTAGTTACTTTATGACGTTGTTTATGATGTTGTTGGCGTATACAAACAGCGTATGAATGCGTGCCGTAAAAAAGCATGCACAATTGCAAATCTGTGAAACAGCGAGGCCCTGAAAAGTGAACCGCTTAATAGTGAGGGAGTATCGTATATCCCAAAAATAAAAAAACCTCAGCACCAAAAGTGTTTTTCTTGAATTCCTTCACACATCCGTGCTCATTTTTGCGCAGAATAAGCACCTCTGATGTATATTGAAGACTTTCCAATTCTT